ACAGAAGAGTAGAGCACTTCGGAAAACATTTTATCTCTTTCATAAGGTTCCTTTATGCAACTTTGCCGAATAAAATCCCCTTGTCTTGTTGTTCAGTCACTCAGTTGTATCCGACCCTTTGTGACCCCATGGAAGACAGCAAGCCAGGCTTCCTTGTCCTTCATATCTCTCAGAGCTTGCTCAAACTCATGTCCATAGAGTCAGTGATGTCATCCAACCATCTCATCCTCTGTCATCCCCTTCTCCTCCCGCCCTCAATCTTTCCCAGCATCAGGGTCTTTTCCAATGAGTTAGCACTTTGCATCAGGTGGCCAAAGTACCGGAGCTTCAGCTTCAGCATCAGTCCTTCCAGTGAATATTCAGGATTGATTTCCTTTAAGATTGACATGTTTGATCTCCTTGCATTCCAAAGGATTCTCAAGAGTCTTCTTCAACACCATAGTTCAAAAGCATCAATTCTTCAGAGCTCAGCCTTCTTTATGGTCCATTCAGGACTGATTTCCTTTCGGATTGACTTGTTTGATCTCCTTGCAATCCAAGGGACTCTCAAGAGTCCTCTTCAAAACTATAGTTCAAAAGCATCAATTCTTCAGTGCTCAGCCTTCTTTACGGTCCATACATGACTCCTGGAAAAAACATAGCTTTGACTAGATGGATCTCTGCTGGCCAAGTAATGTCTCTGCTTTTTAATATGCTGTCTAGGTTGGTCATAGCTTTTCTTCCAAGGAACAAGTGTCTTTTAATTTCATGGCTGCAAGCACCATCAGCAGTGATTTTGGAGCCAAAAAATTAAAGTTTGTCACTGTTTCCATTGTTCCCCAGTTATTTGCCATGAAGAGCTGGGACAGGATGTTATGATCTTTGTTTTTTTAATGTTGAGTTTTAAGCCAGCTTTTTCACTCTGCTCTTTCACTTTCATCAAGAGGCTCTTTAGTTCCTCTTCACTTTCTGCCATAAGGGTGGCGTCATCTGCACATCTGAGGTTATTGATATTTCTCCTGGCAATCTTGATTCCAGCTTTTACTTCATCTAGCCCAGAATTGTGCATTATGTACTCTGCATCTAAGTTAAATAAGCAGGGTGACAATATAGAACCTTGTCATAATCCTTTCCCAATTTGGAACCAGTCGATTGTTCCATGTCTGGTTCTACCTGTTGCTTCTTGACCTGCACACAGGTTTCTCAGGAGGCAGTTAAGGTGGTCTTGTATTCCCATCTCTTTAAGAATTTTCCATTGTTTGTTGTGATCCACACAGTCAAAAGCTTTAGCATTGTCAAAGAAGCAGAAGTAGATGTCTTTCTGGAACTCTCTTGCTTTTTTCTATGATCCAACGGATATTGGCAATTTGATCTCTGGTTCTTCTTCCTTTTCTAAATCCAGCTTGAACTTCTGGAAGTTCACGGTTCACGTACTGTTGAAGCCTGGCTTGGAGAATTTTGAGCATTACTTTGCTAGCGTGTGAAGTGAGTGCAATTGTGCAATAGTTTGAACATTCTTTGGCATTAGCCTTCTTTAGGATTGGAATGAAAATTGACCTTTTCCAGTCCTGTGGCCACTGCTGAGTTTTCCAAATTTGCTGGCATACTGAGTGCAGCACTTTCACACCACCATAATTTAGGATTTGAAATAGCTCAACTGGAATTTCATCACCTCCACTAGCTTTGTTCATAGTGATGTTTCATAAGGACCACTTGACTTTGCACTCCAGGATGTCTGGCAGTAGATGAGTGATCACACCATCGTGGTTATCTGGGTCATTAAGCTCTCTTTGTATAGTTCTTCTGTGTATGCTTGCCACCTCTTCTTAATATCTTCTGCTTCTGTTAGGTCCATACCATTTCTGTCCTTTATTGTTCCCATCTTTGCATGAAATGTTCCCTTGGTATCTCTAAATTTCTTGAAGAGATCTCTGGTCTTTCACATCCTATCGTTTTCCTCTATTTCTTTGCTTTGATCACTTAGGAAGGCTTTCTTATCTCTCCTTGCTGTTCTTTGGAACTCTGCATTCAGATGGGTATATCTTTCCGTGTCTCCTTTGCCTTTATATTCTCTTCTTTTCTCAGCTATTTGTAAGCCCCATTAAGACAACCATTTTGCCTTTTTGCATTTCTTTTTCTTGGGAATGGTTTTTATCACCACTTTCTGTACAATGTCATGAACCTCAGTCCATAGTTCTTCAGGCACTCTGTCTATCACATCTAATCCCTTGAATCCATTTGTCACCTCCACTGTATAATTGTAAGGGATTTGATTCAGGTCATATCTGAATGGCTTAGTGGTTTTCCCTACTTTCTTCAATTTAAGTCTGAATTTTGCAATAGGGAGTTCATGATCTGAGCCACAGTCAGCTCCAGGTCTTGCTTTTGCTGACTGTACAGAGCTTCTCCATCTTTGGCTGCAAAGAACATAATCAATTTGATTTCAGTATTGACCATCTGGTGATGTCCATGTGTAGAGTCGTCTCTTGTGTTGTTGGAAGAGGGTGTTTGATATGACAAGTGTGTTCTCATGGCAAAATTCTGTTAGCCTTTGACCTGCTTCACTTTGTACTCCAAGGCCAGACTTGCCTGTTACTCCAGATGTTTCCTGACTTCTACATTTGCATCCCAATCCCCTATGATGAAAAGGACATCTTTTTTTGGTGTAGTTCTAGAAGGTCTTGTAGGTCTTCATAGAACCGTTCAACTTTAGATTCTTTGGCATTCGTGGCTAGGGCATTGACTTGGATTACTGTGGTATTGAATGGTTTGCCTTGGAAACAAACAGAGATCTTTGAGATTGCACCCAAGTACTGCATTTTGGACTCTTTTTTTTTTTTTTACTGTGAGGGCTACTCTATTTCTTTTAATGGTTTCTTTTCTGCCATAGTAGATATAATGGTCATCTGAATTAAATTCGCCCATTCTGGTTCATTTTAGTTCACTGATTCCTAAAATGTCGATGATCACTCTTGCCATCTCTGGTTTGACTACTTCCAATTTACATTGATTCATGGACCTAACATTCCAGGTTCCTACGCAATATTGTTCTCTACAGCATTGGACTTTACTTTCACCACCAGACACATCCACAACTGGGTGTTGTTTCCACTTTGCTCAGCTTCTTCATTCCTTCCGGAACTATTTCTCTGTTCTTCTACAGTAGCATATCAGGCACCTACCAACCTGGGGAGTCGATCTTTCAGTGTCCTATCTTTTTGCCTTTTCATATTGTTCATGGGGTTCTCATGGCAAGAATGCTGAAGTGGATGATTGTCTTGAGAGAACCAACATTCTGTATTCTATAAACATTTAGTTTTGACTATTCTTGACATTGATATAAAAAAGGAATCATATAAGTCTATACTTTTTTGTCACTAATCATCAGGAAAATGAACATCAAAACCACAATTAGCCACCATCTCACACTTGTCAGAATGAATATCATCAAAAGAACACAAATACATGTTAGTGAGGATGTGGAAAAAAGGGAACCCTCTACTGTTGATGGAAATATAAATTGGTGTAGCCACTGTGGAAAACAGTATGGAGGTTTCTCAAAAAACTAAAAATAGAACTGCCATATAATGCTGGGTACATAAAACCACTAATTCAAAAAGATTTATGTATCCCAATGTTCATAGCAATGTTTTTTACAATTGCCAAGATACGAAAACAACCCAAGTGTTCATCAATAGATGAATGGATTTAGAAGATGTGGTATACATATACTATGGAATACTGAGCCATAAAAATGAATTTTTGCCATTTGCAGCAACATGGATGGACTTGAAGGATATTACACTAAGTGAAATAAGTCAGACAGAGAAAGACAGATACTACATGATGTCGCTTATGTTGCTGCTGTTGTTGTTTAGTCACTAAGTCTTCTCTGACTCTTATTGTGACCCCATAAACTGTAGCCCGACAGGGTCCTCTGTCCATGGGATTTGCTGCTGCTGCTGCTGCTAAGTCACTTCAGTTGTGTCCAACTCTGTGCGACCCCATAGATGGCAGCCCACCAGGCTCCTCTGTCCCTGGGATTCTCCAGGCAAGAATACTGGAGTGGGTTGCCATGTCCTTCTCCAATGCATGCATGCATGCATGCATGCTAAGTCGCTTCAGTCGTGTCCGACTCTGTGCGACCCTATGGACAGCAGCCCACCAGGCTCCTTGGTCCACAGGATTCTCTAGGCAATAACACTGGAGTGGGTTGCCATTTCCTCCTCCAGGCAATCTTCCAGACCCAGGGATAAAATTTGTGTCTCCTGCATCGGCAGGCAGATTCTTTAGTGGTGTGAAAATCTAGATACTACAACAAACTGGTGAATCTAACAGAAAGGAAGTGAGCTCTCAGATATAGTAGCACAGATATAGTAGCTACCAATAGGAAGGAGATTGAGGAGGGTCAGTATGGGATAGGTAATTAAGAGGCGCAAGTTATCAGGTATAAAATAAGCTTCAAGAACGACTTCTCTAGCAGTCCAGTGGTTAAGACTGCCCTTCCAACACAGGGGGCCTGGGTTTGATGACTGGTTATGGAACTAAGATCCTGCATACCATAAGACATGACAGAAATAATAATAAGCTACAGGAATATATTGTACAACACAGGGAATATAGCCAATATTTTATACTAATGATAAATGGAGTACAATGATTGAAAATTAGGAATCACTCTATTATAAACCGGTACCTTATATAATACTATACTTCAAAGAAAAAATAAAATATGATAATAGAAATAATTTGATATTAAAGAGAAAAAACGTTTATTGTCTTTGGTTCTGACCCATGCCCCTGCCCCTCCCTGGAGCCCACCTAGAGAATCATTGGTCTTGCCCCACCCACTCGGCCCTGCCCCTCCCACCCCGCCCCCTCCACCGCCGCGAGAATCCATTAGCTCCGCCCCCTTCTCCTGCATGGAGCCCCACCCTGTGGATATAGGCTTCCTGTTGTGCCTGCGCATTAACAACGGCCAGCCCATGTGGGTGGAGCTTCACGAGCTTTGGAGACCGCCCATGGCCCAGCCCACCCCAGGCCTGGGAAGACTCCGAATACACACACTTCCTGCCACGCCTCCTCGAGGACCATTGTGCACCCAGCAGAGCCCAGAAAAGCGAGCGAGGCCCAATGGACGGCAGAGTGCAGTTGATCAAGGCCCTCCTGGCCCTGCCCATTCGGCCCCAGACACGTCGGTGGAGGAACCCGATCCCTTCCCCGAGACGTTTGATGGCGACACCGACCGGCTCCCGGAGTTTATCGTGCAGACAGACGGGCGCCTACATGCTAGTGGACAAGAACATGTTCACCAACGATGCCCTGAATGTGACGTTCCTCATCACCCGCATGACCCGACCAGCCCTGCAGTGGGTGATCCCCTACATCAGGAAGCAGAACCCCCTCCTCAACGATTACTGGGTTTCCTGGCCGAGATGAAGCGGGTGTTTGGCTGGGTGGAACACGAGGACTTCTAGGCCTGGAGCGCCTCGGGTCTGGGGGCGGGTGCTCGGGGGAGGGTCCGCCGCCCCAGTCGCCGCCTCCCAGATCGCCACAGGCGTCCTCCCGCCGTGTCCTCTCTCACCTTCGGGTGGCCGCGATCTCCCCGTGCTTGTGTCCCCTCCCGCGTAGTGCTTGCCTTTGTTCCAGGAATAGCTCTCCAGGTTCCAGTTGCTGCCGCCGCCCTCTCGGGTCAGCCCGGCCTCTTCCTTGCACACTTGGACACGGTCCTGCGCTCCAACTGCAAGCCGGGCTCCTGTTACCCACTGGGCTGACCACCTACACCCGACAGCTGCCAACTGCCCGCCCCCTGACAGACTCCCAGGCCCGCCTCGGGGTGGCCAGAGACCTGCGCTGTTGCGGCCATCACAGTGCACCGCATCCCACCTGCAGCCTGTAGTCTTTGTCGATCTGGACTCACCCGGGAGGAGGTGTCTGAGCTGGCCACAGCCTCTGGACAAACAAGGATTCCAACAGCTCGCCACCATCCTGGAGGGGCCGGCCAGCCTTTCACCTGTGATGGGACCAAGGCCTTTCCTATCCTAGAGACATCTTCTGTTTCTGCTGGGTGTGACCATTAGGTCCCAGGGCTGCCTGGCAGCCAAATCAAGTCACTCATTATCTCCTGTGGTCCTGTTGGTTTCACCCAGAATCCAGTTCTCTTCTGAATGTGCAGCTGTCTCTCTGATGTGTGCCTTTTGTTGAGCACAGTAACCCCTGCACTCTTCCCAGCTCTTCTACACTACCAGGACAAACTTTTTTTCCCTTATTTTCAGTAAATGTCAGACGATGTTCAGAAAGAAATTGAGTCTCCATGAACATGGCACTTCTCCCTCCCTGGTCTAATAAGTGGGGTCCGTGACTTGCTCAGAACGTATGTACTCTGCCATTCCGTGGTTGATGTAGTGTCTTGTATTATCCAGCAAAAAAGATAACCTTGTGGTCCTGGTGATGGAGACCCTGCTGGTGATCATTCAGTCTCGGATGTTGACTCTTCCAAACCAGTCAGTTCCGTGTCCCTTCCTTGGGAAATGGATCTGGATCAAATTTTTGGTCAAGGCAATGTCAGGAAGAACAGCTAGGAGACTTTGGGGAAAGAGTCTCTCTTTTCCAAAAAGCTGCTTTTGAAAGCATAATAGCTAATTTTTACAAATGAAGAATCCCATACATTTGTTGGTGAAACCCTGTCAAAGTTTTATTTAATCTATTACTCAGGAAACTAGCAGAATGACAGGTGGTTCAGAAGAAGCATTTACATTTATGGAGCCTTGATTGTTAAATGGAAAAGGAGGAAGTTCAGAACTGCTCTTGTTAATCTAGGTAGAAACCTGGTTGAGAGCCTGCAGGAAAATAAAATTATAACTTTCTGCAATAGGCAGAAAAGCAAAAATGGTACTCCTTACTACTTCTCTTTATGCTAACCTGTTAAATCACCAGTACTGCTACTTCATCTATGTCTGCTGCTGCTGCTGCTAAGTCATTTCAGTCGTGTCCAACTCCATGTGACCCCATAGACGGCAGCCCACCTGGCTCCCCTGTCCCTGGGATTCTCCAGGCAAGAACACTGGAGTGGGTTGCCATGTCCTTCTCCAATGCATGAAAGTGAAAAGTGAAAGTGAAGTCTCTCAGTTGTGTCTGACTCTCAGCGACCCCATGGACTGCAGCCTACCAGGCTCCTCCATCCATGGGATTTTCCAGGCAAGAGTACTGGAGTGGGGTGCCATTGCATTATCCGTCATCTATGTCTAGGGGAGGTTAAAGTTTCTCAGTAGAGTCTGATAAAAAGATAGAGTTACAGAAGGATACTGAATCAACTCTGCCTCATGTCTAGTTTGGGTGATTTTTCCCATACAGGGCAGAGAAAAATCAATCATTACAGTGGTTTTTCACTTTATTGACTCTCTCTTAATTTGAACAGGTAAACTTGAGCAATGGTTCACATGACTTATGTGGAACTGGAGGTACTAATACATTATCCTCATTTTGTATTAGAATTTTTTTTTCAGTATCACCAGAAATAGTGGAAACAATATTAACTTGCCTTTGGCATATAATAGGCCAAAGTTTTAAAGTGAGAGGCAAAATTTGCATCACTTACTGAATTGGAGTTTTATGACGCACAAGTTCTTAAAATAATTGACAGCTGACTAATTTTGAGATTCCAATTTAAGTTGCTGGAGGTCAGCCATTCTGGATGGTTGTGAAAGATGATTGTGTTAAGCATATTCACTGTTTGGTTTTAAACATAGTTTCTGCTAAAGTGGTTTGAGAATTGCTTGGAAGCAGTTTATGGTGTAGATCCAGCATATTCCCTACAGTCTGTGTCCATCTGGCTCTCAAGGAAGGTAGAATGGCCTGGGACAACTCGGTATCCTTTGAACAGTGTTGGTAACCCCTTGCCTCCTTCAACAAAAATGCCCCTGCACTTTTCTTCTTCCTGCCAGAATGGCTGTTAGGCATTATTCCTTTGTCTATACCATTTGTATCATCCCAGGTCCTTTTTTGTGATAACAGATGTTTTGGGGAAAGGCAATATTTTGCAAGAATTTATCTTGAATGTCTTAGCAAGTTTCTGTACTGATACAAAGGAATGGCATTTTTAAGGCAGAAGGGAGGTTTTTTCTCATAACTTTATAAATGCCCCCTTTGCAATTGTCATTCTTAGGTTGTTTCCCTCACCTCATTCTATTAATGTCCTCAATATACAATCAAGAATCATTACCTCAGAAGGAGAAATATAAAGTTTGTCAAAAGATGAACGCATGAGGGATTATAGAAAAACATAATCATTTTTGTTTGTGCTTGAGGCCAATAATGACTTGAAACATATATTTGAGATAATACACATTATATAATACATATTATATATTATACAATATTATAATATAATACATATTATAATAATATAATAATAATAATTTGAGTGGAGATTTTGTCACGCTGAAATCCATAAAAATTTAATAAGAGAGTAAAGTGGCCTTTGGGTGCTTCAGTGTCGCAGGGAACTCTTGGGTCTCAGGGAAATCTTTATAGCCTGTACTGGTGAAATAACTCATTCTTCCTCAGTGGCCTAAGTTAACCCCTGTACACAAAGGCAGCCCTAGGGAAGAGATGAAGTAGGGAAGGGGATTCCATATGGGCCCTTTGTGAGTGTCCCTGATTTGTCTACCAGAGACTTGGAGGGAGCCGAAAGAGTAGGGTGAGAGAGTGTGTACCAGGAATCCTGGGTGCTACAAGGTTTCCTCCAGTAACCTTTGCAGGCATCTGATGCCCTGCTTGCTTATACAGGTGTTGACACACTTTGGCTTCTATCATGGTGGTAGTGTGACTACTTCAGTTTATGTCAAGCAGTTTTGAACAGTAATGAGTCTACAATGAAAAGCAGCACATTTAGTGACACTGGATATGGAAAGGACAAAGATCAGTCAAAACACACACGTTCAATGAAATGAAATGAAAATAAAGTAAAATGAAAGCCCATCATGAAGTCAGACTAGTAGTATGGTGAAGTGGCATGCCTGAACAGGAAGAAATAAAAGCAGTATACCAGTTAATACATAGTGGGATCCATTAAGACCTCTCTCTACCTTTCCACCACAACAGCTAATCACAGACCCCAGACGGAAAGTATCTGGACTTTGTGTTTATGTTTGTATATGGAGGAAATCCCTGACATGACAAGAGAGGTTATGGGCCAGAGGAGTCTACCTGGCTGGATTCAGCAGTCACAAGCCCAAACCAGAGCTCCTAATCTTCCCTGTATTCTGCTCCTTTTAGTCCCCTTGCAGATCACACTACCATGCCTCACTCAACCCAAGTGCTCTATGTGCCCTCCCTCTTATTGATCATCCACAGACAGTCACCAAATCCATTCTGCCCTCCTTGGTAGCTCAGCTGGTAAAGAATACACCTGCAATGCAGGAGGCCCCAGTTCGATTCCTGGGTCGGGAAAATCCACTGGAGAAGGGATAGGCTACCCACTCCAGTATTCCTGGGCTTCCCTGCTGGCTCAGCTGGTAAAGAATCCGCCTGCATGTGGAAGACCTGGGTTCAATCCATGGGTTGGGAAGATCCTCTGGAGAAGGGAACAGCTACCCACTCCAGTATCCTGGCCTGGGGAATTCCATGGACCTTGTAGTCCGTGGGGTTGCAAAGAGTCGCACATGACTGAGCAACTTTCTCTTTCACTTTCTACCCCCCAACCCCAAGGCCGCCACCCCGACTCCAATGGCCTGCCCTCTTTAGCCTTCTGATGGCAAAGGCCCTGCATCCAGTGCCCTGCTGATCACAGAACCTATTTCCCTCTCTCTGCTTCTGCTGTTTCTCTGTCTCATGGCAGCTGAAAGCATACTGTCACATGATCAAAGGAGGGACATTTAGAATTTCAGAACTTTGTTGGACCTATGGATATAGTAAGCCTGAATTTGGGCCTTGAGCTAAAGACAGCAGCCATACCTGTTGTGCAAGCTGAGTGGAGGATTGCATACTTACACTCACTACAAGCAAGCACATTCTTTACAAGGTCATTAGGCTAGAGTCCTAAAATGAATGTATAGATCAAAGTCCATATAACATTATTTTGACATATCAAAATCTCACCTCAGCAAGATTTTCAAGTTACATTCTCACTAGTAGTGTGAGGGAATGTCTCTTTGCCCCTATCATTATTAAATTTTAAATTTTCAATCAAGATATAATATCCCAATGATAAGTACTCTTTTTTTAAGTTTTTTTAATTAAGTAATTTATTTTAATTAGAGGCTAATTACTTTACAATATTGTAGTGGTTTTTGGCATACATCAACATGAGTCAGCCATGGGTGCACGTGTCCCCCCATCCTGAACCTCCCTTCCACCTCCTTCCCCACCCCATCCCTCTAGGTTGTCCCAGAACACCAGTTTTGAGTGTCTGCTTCATGAATCAGTCTTGTCCTGGTCATCTATTTGACATATGGTATTATACATGTTTCAATGCTAT